TAGTTTCCTGTTTCATTCTAGACAGTTTGAAATTTAGAATTTATGCTTTTCATGTCATCCTGATATTTACCTCATAGCCGAGGAAAGAATAGTGAACTCAGCCGACTAGAACAGAATTTGAACTCAGCTCACCGATTCAACTTTTCGCACCGAGAAAACAGCACCCAAAGTTTACGAATGCTAAAATCTTTAAAACAAGGCTCAGTATTTTTAGCATATACTTAACCATATCCTTCTAGTAACTTGCAAGAATATATCGTATGGCGTGGTCGGACGCTGGGGAAGAAAATAAAAGGTAAACGATGATTTGGTTCAATATAATCCAACAGATAATCGGATCAAGATGAGCGCAGATAAACTTAGTATTACGCATGCGCAATGAACATACTTAGCATTTAGACATTCTTTAGGGCCACGTTTTTCATTAGGCCGGACTCTTCCAGTAATACTGGCTAATATAATTGAGAACTTTATTCATAATTCACATGTAATCTATTACTTGACTTTTGCCGGCTTGAATCTAAAACGTGGGAACATGATGATATCAGTCCATCCTGATGACTGCGTGACAATTTCTGAACCTTCATTGGCTTTTGGTCAGAATATATGATTCATTTGTAGCTAGCAGGAAAATATATATAGTTATTTACCTACTTTATAGTACCTTATTTCAGCAGACAAATTCTTCAGCCTCCGTCATTATTCCACGTACTATTAGCCCTTTTGTACTCGTCTATTTTTTGCATTAACAAATCTCTAAAATCTTTCGGATGACACATTTTTCATCATTCATCATTATGTCATATCATATTAGCACATTTTATCAATCTATGTCGTCATTAATATATCGTTTCGACCGATGAATGTTTCAACCTTCATCATTATTTCATAGTAACACTGTTGTCTTAATCTATGTCGTCATTAATAAATCGTTTCGACCGATTAATGTTTCAACCTTCATCATTATTTCATAGTAACACTGTTGTCTCAATCTATGTCGTCATTAATAAATCGTTTCGGCCGATGAATGTTTCAACCTTCATCATTATTTTAATAGTAACACTGTTGTCTTAATCTATGTCGTCATTAATAAATCGTTTCGGCCGATGAATGTTTCAACCTTCATCATTATTTCATAGTAACACTGTTGTCTCAATCTATGTTCTCATTAATAAATTATTTCAAACGATAAATTCTTCGGTTACTTCATTGCTGCATATAATTTTATCTCTTTTGTCTTTAATCAATGTTGCAATTAATAAAAGGTTTCTGCCGACAAATTATTCAGCTTTCCCGATTAATCTATATCATATTACTGTTGCTACCTTATTCTATTAAGATTGATAAAAATTAAAAGAAAAATGTTTTTTAAAAAAAGATAAAAAAAAGATTTGTTTTCATATATTTTTTATCAGTAACTTTTGGACCTCTGGAGATGTCACATCCCAATGTAGAGCGAATATTTTCTCTTTTTCCACGGCAACCAGATCTGAATTCTTATATATATATATATATATATATATATATATATATATATATATATATATATTGTTTTTCTCTATCCTTCTTTCTCTATTCCCTCTCTCCAATTCTCTATCTGAGGGCAGTTCTTAGATTTCCGTAATATTGTCCAAATGTCACACTCGTAACTTTTGCATCAATATAACAAAACCGTACTATCTATCTATCTATCTATCTATCTGGTTGGTTGGTTGGCTGGCAACCTGTTTCTCCTCTTTTCCCTCGCTATCACTCTCTGTTTTTCCCTATCTCATTCTCATAATCTATTTCTAATTGTTACTGACGATATTGTCCCCAAATTAGAGAAAGTGTTGACGTTACCATTCCGATATTCACGTGGAACATATTTTCTCCAAAGTCTTGCAAATGGCACACAATGGCTCTGTGTTCGAAAAAACAAGAAAGAACACAGGAAAGTTTAAAGACACTTCAAATGCTTCTCTAAAATTATTAAAAAATGTCACTGTCTAAATTTACATGAAGTCGGATATGATGAAACCCAGCATTACCAGAAACACATAAGGAGTTCATGCTATATTAGATGACCACGAAGCTGATATTGCATAGCATTATTAGCAAGTTCGATCCTCACTAGCTGCTCGAAACTTCTTGCTTCATGTAATAACTAAACTACGACTAGAAAATATCAACGACTTTGTTACATCTAAAGTAAAATTAACTTGGCTCTTAACCTTTACATTAAATTGTCGTTTAAATTAAAAACTTTAGTTAGCTCGAAAGTTTATATACCAAGGTAAGTTAAATATTATCCACATTTTTGCTATATCTTAAGGTTTGTTACACGGCCTCCTGCTCATGCGTGCTTATAGTTGGTACTATTACAGTCACGTAATCGAAGATTTTTGCTGCTTCTACAGTGTAAACCTGACCGATCCGCAAGCAGTGTGCACCGACAAGAAAAAACAATTGTCACTCTCCAGCGTTAACAAGGTTTAAAAGCATTTATGGGCAATGGATTATTTTCAGCCGTACAGCCCATTTCGCAAAGACAAAAAACGTTGCAAGCATTACCCGGCAAACATTTGAACGAGCTACATTCCTTAGTTCCACTAGTTCAGACGTTTACAGCGAAGACCTGCCATACCACGGACACGGCGTCAACTCGCCCTCCTTCCTTTTTTACTAATAAGCAGATTGTTCCATTCGAAGAATTTATTCTCCAGAGCCGTTGCTTTGTAAACCAGACGTCTGAGATGATGCTTTGCTGACCACTACAACCTTAACCTCTTCATGTTTAGTGCCAACCTTTAGCTAAGCTACACATTCTAATTTTCTCTTCTTAGGCCCTTAAAAAAACTTTATTTAGTAACGCTCTAACTTGAGTGGCTCTTAGACATTGCAACAATATTGTTCAGGGCAAGGAGATTCGTTTGGGGGCTTATATATGATGTTGCGGCCATAGCTCAGAGTTTTACATTTCACTGGTTTTATTTTTCAAAGACATCTTCTGACGTGTGATGCCAGTGTTCATTTGCATAATGGAAAATAATTCGTTTACACAGTTTCCAGTGAAATATAGTTTCTATATAAGAGCAAGGCGTACGCAAGCCTGAGAATTCAAAAGGCTCCGGAAGGCAAAGGAAACATGGGAATTTCCTGAAATCTCAGAAAATGTTTGCATATCTCGAAGACCTGCATTTGCATGTTGTGTGAGCCTTACAGCTTGTAGAATAAAAGAATAATAGATAAATAATAGAGTAAGGAAAAGGAGCCGATAGAAATTTTGTACCCGCTGATAAAATTCTTCTCAAAAGCATTGGTCTCTACAATTATTGACCGCTTAGTTTGTCGATGTTCAGCAATTCTAACACTTTTATTATTAAAGTCTTGGTCATAGCATTTTATGTTGGATACGTTATGATGAAAATGATTTACTTGGGAAATCAAAAACAATTCCGTAGTTCATTTGAGAATTTAAAAGAAAAAACATATTTGTGGGTATGTCTTGATTAACCAATCAAAAGTCGGATCAAAGCTAAAATAGAAAAATGTAGTTAGAGGTTAGGGGTAGGTGGGTTATTAATTAATGTCTACATAAATTGACATTTTTAAGACACGTCAGCACAGACAACATCCGGTTATGAATATAAATTTAAGATACAGTGAATTAGACAGAGAGATATATTTAAAAAAAATGTTAATTTTAAGGAATTTCAAGATTTATTTTTATTTTATTTTATATATACTTCAGAAGTATCATAAAGGAGCCTCTAGCGTGATTAAAGCATTTTACATATATTTTGAACCCAAAATACGATACTTATATTGAATGGGAACTAAAACATTGCAATAGCTGAAAAAACAAAGAATTAAATAAATATTAAATGAACCATTTATAAAAAACATTTACAAATTACTGTTAATATATATATATATATATATATATATATATATATATATATATATATATATATATATATATATATATATATTGCAATTTTTCATTGTTGACTGTTGCTCGTACATACCTGTTGACAATAGCATAATCAAAATTTTGAAAAGACTAATAGATTAGCCGAAAGTGCTCGGAACGAAAAATTGCCGAAAAAAAACATTTTTTTTTTCAATCAGAAAAAAAAAAATTAAACAGGTAATTTATCTGTCATTTTTAATGTGTTTACGAATTAGCAAGATATTTTTAATTGTATGAATTTTTCGGAGATAATTATGATTTATTGCTACAAGTCCTAATATTTAACCCATAGCTGGAGGGAGAATATGTGGATTCCTATTTTTTTTCTTAGGGTATTTGCGTGTAAATTAATATGACCTAAATCCAATAGGAACTCGGCTCTGCAATTTCCAAAACATTTTATTCTGTTTATGGAATCTTTACAATTGATCTTTTACAAAGAGAATGGAATTGACAGAATTATATATTATTAGGTGTGAAACATGGAGTGAGGCTAATGCTTTAATTACATTGCTTACATTGATACCAGATTGTTTATCTTTACTCCCTTTACTATATTATTCATGACCAGTCATTTTGCACAATTCCAAGGCCTTGAGAATTCTCTTCATCTTTTGAACAAGAATCAGCATCACTTTGACTTTCGTAATCACAATTTGTCTAAGGTTAAATTGAAATCATCATGATTGATTGATTTGCTGTTTTTTTACGGCTTATGAAACTTCTGCAGGTTTTATTTAAAACCAGGAAATATATTGGGATGGTTCATAATTATCAGGCGTTTTTCACAATAAGTATCGTTTCGAAACGCCTGATAATTATGCACCAATTCAATATTTAGACTTTAAGAATGTTTTGGAGACAATAAATCTTTACTGACTTAAATTCTACAAATTAACCCATAGCTTGAGTTACAGAAGAGGTGGTTTCATTCCTTTCCCAAGAGTCTTTGCGCGTATATATAACCAAGTTGAATGGAAATGGAACTCGGCTCTCTGATTTCCAATTCCGAGCTGTTATCCATTACATCACCAGCACATTCAAGCTTACAGCACGTGGTATTACCAAGTGGTCCCCCATCTTGGTACTAACCAGCTTTTGACGTTGCTTAACTTCGGTGATCGTACAAGAACCGCTGTTTCAATATGATATGGGCATAAGTTCAGTTATTTAAAAAAATTTGTTTCAAGACTAAATTTTAAAATTATAATACATTAAAATAGATACATATACTATACATATATTAATTATTATTATATTTTTATTATAACAAATTACAATAGAAACATTTTTCATCGCTGCACAAAAACTTTTATGTTTCAGAACGATTACAGTTCAGAACCGTGAAAGATTTTTGTGTAGCGACGATGAAAAACATTTTTATTGTAATCTGTTATAATAAAAATATAATTCTAACAGGTGTGATTTGGTAATTTGCTTGGGTTAATTTATTTTGCTCATTTTATTGTTATTTTCTTTATTTATTTATTTTCATTTTTATCTTATTTTTCCGTTTTCGATTTTTAAGTAACGTTGTAAAAATTTGTTTTCATGTCTGCATTTTGAGATGAGCTCGGATCTTTTATTTAGAATAGACGAAATAGAACAAAAAATAAGAAACAAAACCAATTAGCCCAAATAAATAAAGTAAATAATAAACAAGTTAGCAAACCATTATGACCAAAATATTAGTTAGACTGTAAAAATCAAACCAAAAATCGAAGAAAAAAATAGCTCTCACTGTTATATAATTATTAAAGAAAAAAATACTACATTACTTAAAAATCGAAAACCGAAAAGAAAAAATATACAATATAACAAATAGATAATAACAAGTAAAATAAATTGACCTAAATCCATCCAAATAAATACATAAACAAACAAACCGATCCCGATAAATTAACCGTTAGAAGAAACAAATAAAGATAATCCAAATAAATACATGAAGTAATAAACAAATTAAAAAACTGTTCCCGCCGAAATAATAGCAAGAATAAACTACAACAATCAACCCCAAAATTGAATAACTAGCTTTAACTATCTTCCCAAACCAAAACAAAACTATTAAATAAGCGACATAAACAAATTTCTACTACGTTAATAAAAACACCGATTAAAATAAAAAATAATAAATAAATATATAAGATAAGAAATAAAAAAACAATAAAAAATAAAAAATAAAAATAAATAAAAACAAGCAAAATAATTTAACCTAAATAAATAAACAAATAAACGACTTCCGGCAAAATAACCGCCAAAATAGGCTACCCACAATGCACCACTGACCCGTATATATAAATAGCCGAGAAAAATAACATCACTCGTGGCCTGAGGATTGCATCTAGCATGAAACAGACTGTCGCCTTAAGTGTTGACTTCTATGTTCACTTTTATATTTACACACGCTCTATCTCTGATATTGAGCACTTTATCCCATAAATATAGCACATCTTAAGACTATATTTCTTCATATATATATATATATATATATATATATATATATATAAACGATGAGAAACATACCTCAGCTTGACCTAAGCCTTGCGAGTGGAATTGTGTAAAGGGAGTCGTTCGGAAATCCTGGCAATACGCTCCAAGCCATTGTGACCGATGGATTTCTGAAAAAGTCTTCACACCAAAAATTCTGCTCTTTGGTCATTTGTTCGGGGTTCTGGAAGTAAATCTGGGTCAGAATTTTCAGCACCCTTTCAGGTAGATAGATAGATAGATAGATAAATATCTTTTCACCGTAAAAAAGATAGATGCCATTTTCTGTTGATTAACGTTTTCAAAAATACGATATAAAAATTATTTTTTTAAAGAAAGTAATTACTGTTTGTAATCACATTTCCTGAAAACAAGTCGGGTTTTAATCGATTGAAAGCCTCAGGCAACGAGGTTTTTGCGATAACTGTAAGTTAGCGCTCGACGAAGCATATGGGCAACTGATTGCCAGCATCCAGATGCGATAGTTATACTTTTCCGACGGTACGATTTCATCTTTTGTGGCATTATTCCATGCGTAAAAGTTTCTCCAGGCATTATTTAACGATAATGTCTGGAAAAAATAATTCTATAATTTACATTATAAAGACGGCGTTACACGCTTCACTATATATATATATATATATATATATATATATATAGTTCTGTCTATCAGTTCCTTTATTAAATCTGTCAAATTTCTAAATAAGAGGTTTTGTGATATCGGTATATCTGCCAAAAAAAAAAAATTAATTTTTAATTTAAATCATGCTGCCATAAAACACGTTTATACATATATATATATATATATATATATATATATATATATATATATATATATATATATATATAAACGATCCGCTTAGGTGAAAACTCTTGGTAGGTTTGTCTGGCTCTCTAGGTTTAACTAGGTCTGCTCTACTTACAGTATTGAGCACTTTATTTAGTTATTTTGCTTACCTGTATCGGTTTTTTTTTTCTTTTGGCTTTGAACTTGCATGCTGGACGATTATTTTCGGCTAACGTACATGTTCTTGGTTCTTTTTTTTTTTATACTTTTTTTCTTCCTTTTGGCATTGGTTTGATTATTTGCAAATCAAAACACCGAAGGTTTTCCAAACGAGTGTAGTTCTTATACTTATACGATTTCTACTAATATATATATATATATATATATATATATATATATATATATATATATATATATATATATATATATATAGTGCACTGCATTAGCTGGGTACCGTCTGTGAGAAAAAGACCACCATCAAGCAATTCACTGTACTGCTTGGCATTCGCGCCGGGAGCTCCGAAACAAACATTTCAGAGTGTCTGGGTGTTAATCTGAGGACAATGCAGAGGACGCTGTGTCCCCAAAAGATCTACCGAAACTGATGATTACCAAATATGCAGTTAACATAATGGTGTTAGGAGTGATCCCTAGTTATGGCGACGTTATGCCTCCGTTCATCTCCAGGACATCAGACTCAACACAGAGACCTACATCAAGTGAATTGAGGAGGTAGTGCTGCCCTGGGTCACAAGGGTCGCTGATAGGAGACTTTATGTCTGACAACAGAACTCTGCACTATGCCACACAAGCAGGAGAACCCAATCATGGCTGTCAGACAATTTCTGCGACTATATCACCCCTTAAACCAGGCCACCTAACTTCCCAGACTGCAACTCTCTTAATTATTATGTGTGGGACGCAGTTGAGCGAGAGACCAACAAAACTCATTGTAACATCAAAGATGAACTGAAGGCAAGGATTTTGGCAGTATTCACCAACTTTAACTTTAAACAGTCCAGAAGAGATAGTTGCAGGAAATTCCGAAGTCGTCTGAAGACCGTGGTTAAATACAATGTCGATTCTATTGAACAAATTTACTCTTTTAGTTTTTCAAGATATTGATGTGTAAATTTGGTAAATATATTATGTAAAAATTATATGTCAGTGTTATTTTTATTTTTGCGTAACTTAGACGAGAGTGTATCCATCGCATCCCGTATATATCTATATCTATATCTATCTATATATATATGAAGAAAAATATACGGAAAAAAAACAAACAAAAATCCTAATAGGCAATTATGCTGTTTTAATGTTAATATAATGTCAACGTCGGACGTTTCGCTCTAGTAGACCATCTTCAGGACATATTCATAAAACATAATTAATATTAGACTATATTTAATTCAACATGAAAAGACGATGTTGAAATATCCAACGTTGACATTATATTAACATTAAAGCAGCATAATTGCATATTAGGATTTTTTTGTTTGTTTTTTCCGTATATTTTATATATATATATATATATATATATATATATATATATATATATATATATATGTGTGTGTATGTATGTATGTATATTAAATACAGCTTCATTGTATGCTATTTTATGGCCAAAAGTACTCAATATCAAGGATACAGCGGGTGTAAACATAAACGTGGACACGGAGGTCAAAAACGCGTGTAGACAGTTTGTTTCTTGTGTGAACGCAATGCCCAGCCAATCCACATAGAAAAACTAATCCCGACATGAAACCTCCTGACGACTGAAAAGAATGATTACAAAAATTTTCATCTACGAGATTCTGGAGTCGAGGTGTTGAATATAACCCCAATCAGCTAAGTGATAAATTTTATTTTATTAACCCTATATATATATATATATATATATATATATATATATATATATATATATATATATATATTGATGATGTGGAGGAAACAGAAAACAGAAACCTTATGAAGTAGCCAGAACATTAGATGAGTAATCACGAAGACAGTTGATAATTGCCATTGCATTTAAATTTTTGAAGAGCAAAGTATGGAAAAGCATGGAAACCATGGACTCGGAAGAGATTTACGCAAGCGAGAATTGTGAGGAAACTGCTAGCATAGAACTTACGGTTGTATCCAGCCAATTCAAGTGTGAAATTGCGAGACCTTGCTGCCAATCTAGTACTATTCTTAAATTCATAAAGTCTAAGTACCATAGCGAATATCTCATCCGAACAATACTATGAAAGGATTTCTAGAAAAGGCACATGGAAGCAACTTTAAGGGGGTGGAAAAGTGACTGAAGCCGAGATGCCAGGTCATGATCAGTAATATTGCTGATTTTTCTTTGGAATCTCTAAATACATAGCAGGAGCGCAGCACCATATATGGAAACAATATTCTAAGCATGGCCGAATGGTAGACATAGATATGTAAAATAGATTCTGGTGAGAAAAATTGACTAGCATGACTCAGTGGACCCATTTTCTAAACAGCTTAACTAGCAATAGATAGAATGCAGTCTCTCCACTTCATGCCAGCCTAGAATGTCAACCAGAGAAGCTGCAATGTGTCATTCTCCAGGAGGTTAGCATCGACCGTGCTGTTGCAATGCATAAAGACAATCTCTCAGTTGATTAGAGAACAGTTTATTTTTTAGAGGCTTTAAAATTAACAAACCATTCTTTTACACACTTAACAAAAGACAGTAAGTCGTTTTGGAGATCAGCCACCAATTTTACATTATCGACTTAGCATCGAGACAGGAGTAAATGGTTGTGCCATCAGCATAGATACCAAATCATCAGAAAGGTCATTAATGAAAATTAAAACAAAGTAGGGCCAAGGATATATAGCCCTAGAGGTCACCTGCATTAGTACAG